GAGGCCACATACCCCTGCCCTCTTTGTGCTGATAAGATTTGAGTTTGACAAATCAATTCCTAATTAATTATTTTAACTTTGGTTTCACATTGGCATTGGAGAAAATATCCAACCTTGGTGGGGATGCCAAAGTAAAGATCATAATTTTCTGTAATTTCCCGTGAATTACAGGACTTGTTAATTATATCCTCTACATGAGTGAGATGGTTCTGTTTCCTTCTTAGAATTTTTTTTTTCCCTATGCAATAAGACGTCCTGGTTCTGTTTCCATCTTAGAATTTTTTTTTTCCCTATGCAATAAGACGTCCACTTTAATCATTAAGCAATTTTTATACAAAATATCAAGAATATGCCATTCACCAAATCCTCAATATACATTAATAGTCCGAGGAGTTTTATTCATCTTCAGAAGAGAAACATACATGACTTCAAAGGGTAGGTATCAATATCATTACATGGTACAAGTGTTTCAAAGCACAGTCCAGAAGAAATGAGGCCTGCAAAAACTAGGGCTTGGTAGAGAAAAAACAACTCCTTAGGAGTTGTCATGACAGACACTATAAATAGCTGCCATGGCCAGAGCCCATGAAAAAAGCAAGGCACCAAAATTCTGACTGGATGCAAGGTAAACAATGGTGAGGATGTGCCTAACCTTTGAGTAAAACAGAGACCGAACAATCACGTGAAGAAACTACCGAGTTTAAAAACGCGATCGACCAGTATACAGACTCCAAACTTTGTACTGGAAGGACTAATAAAAAGAGAAAAGCTTAGCCCAAACATGAATTGACAAGACCAAGCTAAAAACACCAGGTGCTAGCACCCAGCAACACAAAACAAATGAGACATACCCTAAAATCCAGGAGCTGGTTTTGTTCTCAGGGATTTTGGCCAAGAAGAAACCAAGACCCATTTACTGGGCATAATGTGTAAACAGATTACCCTAGGGAAATCTGCAAAAAATAATTAGATAGAATGGCCATATTCCCTGGAAAAGGGGACCGAGCACCGGATGACAGAAGACCCATTGCGGATGGACCCAAAAACTATAAATACCACTGCTATTCATAAAGCTAATCTGAGGCGTCCTGAGAACTCGAACCTTGTGTACATGGCAGTGCCATATGTATCCTTCCTGTTCAGAGATGCTCAGAAAAGGATATCACACCCCCACAACTGCTCCACCAGCATATCCACTGCACTGCTGCTGATTCCTTTGCAATGATGCAGATTTAATCCCAAGAGGCTCTGACCAAGTTCTCCAAGAGAAGGCAGACTTCTGTCTGAAATCATTGAGCAACCTGACATGGAGAGGATCTGCAGATTGAATTGATAGCCACGAGCCAGAGATGCAATTCCAGAATCAGTAATTGCACACTTTGAGACATCAAGATCACTTAGCAACATGCAGTTCTCTGCAACTGCAACCAAACTTGCATCAGTGATGCTCCCACAGCCATCAAGATTCAGCACCTCAAGAGTACAACCATGCAGATCAACCATGGAAGAAACAACTTTATCACTCAAATTCACACAGCCACTGAGATTAGCCTTCACAAGACCAGCCTTGCAGTTTTCAAGCAATGGAAGAAAACCAGCATCTGTTATTCCATGAAGCCCACTCAAGTCTAAATGCTGCAACCGAGGGCACAACTTCCCCAAGACTGCCAGGCCGACATCACCAAATCCAGGGCAGTTGCGGATGGACAATGATCGAAGGGATTCACAAGGGGATACAGAAGGCAATCCAAGGCTTTGGTCTCTAACTCCCAAGCAGTTCACCAGAGAAAGAGCCTTCAGCTTAGTACCACAGTTCAAAAGGGAACCAAAAAACCCAAATTGGGTGATCCTGTGGCACTCTTCCAGTTGCATGCTCTCCAGTGACCCAGCTGCTTTAGCAAAAGAAACCAGTCCGTTGTCAGACAAGAATGGACATCTTTTAAGACAGAACTGTTTTAAATTTGGGCAACCCTTTCCTACAGCTTCAAGACTCAAATCCGTTACCCCACGGCATGACACAACTGTTAAAGACTTCAACTTTTGTAGCCCATGGCCATTGCCCATGACCCAGAATCCCCTCTCACTAACATTTAGGAGGCTAGTGATGGAAAGATCAGTAACTGACTTCCCATAGCATCCAATGACAGCAAGAGAAATGTCACTGATATTCAATGATTGGAGCTTTACTTTGGCCAGGGAATAAGTGGAAGAAGACATCAGGCCAGCAATTCCTTGATCTCCAATGCGTGGGCAATCTTTGATAGAAACCGACTTCAGATTGGCGCAGCTCCGTGCAACAGCTTGTAGACCTTCATTCTCAATGTTTGGACAGGACTCAATTGTCAGATCAGTCAAGTGAGGGCAGCTCTTGGCAATCGCAAGCAAGGATTTGTCGGTGATTGTAGGGCAGTGGCAAAGGTCAAGCTTCTCAAGTTGATGACAGCCACTAGCAATCTCAGATAAACCCTCATCTCCAATGGAAGGCAAATTCCACAAGGAAAGAACCTTCAGAGAAGGGCAACCACGCGAAATCACCTTGAGACCTTGGTTTGTCACCCTTTGACTGCCTCTGATAGAAAGCTTGCCCAATCCTCCACGACTAGCAGTTCCTACAGCAATAGCAGCAAGTCTAATATCAGTTGCTTTCTTCCCTTCCAAGCTCCTGGAAAGATATCCATCGCCTTCAATATCCTGATCCACACCCTCGTTTTCCTGGGTGGTTTTACAGTTACTAATTTCATCTCTGTGGATATTGCTCAAAAGAAAAAGCCAACGCTTGGACACACAGGCACAGGCACTCCTCTCCTCGCCTCCTGGCAACCTTCTGAAGATTTCAAAAAGGCACTCATCTGGGAGAACCTCAATAGATGCCTGCTCTTGCTCAGACCTCTCTCTGCTGATAACAATTGGGGCACTGACACGGGACCGCTTGTTAGGTTGAAAATATAAATCCACATAATGACCAAGGGGCAAGAAAAGACTCGAGTCCTTTGGATTTGGATATATTGAACCCCCAGGGCAAAAATCATCCGTACCTGAGAACCAAAACCATATCTTTAGTTAGACATATTTCAACATAATTCGCATTCAAAAAAGATCAAAGCTAATCCAAGGGCCATAAAATCCACAACTCTTATTCCGAAAATCATCAGTTCTAGGCACCCATATAGCTTACAGAACTAAAACCCCCCATACAGCATGCAGATTATAAGAATCACAAAAGGCTAGAACCGGATTTAGCTAAGCAACATCTAAAACGATTAACCACCAAAGTGACATCAACCCAAAAATAGGTCCAGGGACACCTGATCTCCCACTACAGGCAAACACCAGTCTCCAAGTCTTATTCAAGAAAACTGATTCACACAAAGGACTCCAGCTAAAGGCGCCTAAAGTTCTACCTTAAATTAACTAATTTTGCTACCAAAACCCAAAAATCCCTTCATCTTATGGAAAAGATCCATCTTTTATAGAACTAAATAACATACATATCATAAAATCTTCAAACAACTTCCTAAGATTAAAAGCCGATGTCATAAGTCAACCATATCATGTTCAATCTACCAGAAAATCTTAAAAATCACAAGAATCTTAAATACCCATATAAGAATTCAACAATTCAAGTAAAAAAAAAAAAGAAGAAGCTAAACTCAAGCAAGTTAGAAGAACATACCACTGAAACCAAAGAGCTTTGACATGAGAACAGCACAAAAAACCCCGGGAGGTAAAATCTGCAAGATTTCCCACCCAAAAACCCTCCAAAGAGAGCAAAAAAGAGAGCCACAAGAACAAATATCACAGCCAAAACACAGTATGCAGCTGAAGAACTTGAATGCATGAGAGAAATTGGAGCTTAAGAGGAAGTATGAACCCCTAAAACAGGGCAAAAAAGAGAGAGAGAGAGGAGAGAAAAATGGCTAAGGTAAAAATGAGAGATGAGAGACAGTGCAAGGAATAGACTTTATTTCATGTGGGGGCGTGGTTTCGGTACATGGTGATACACGTAATACAAACCCATATGCATTGTATCTGTGCATATATTCTCCCTCCACCAAATGAATACCGGAAACCACCCCCCGCAGCGGTTTTGCCATTTTTCCATTTTTTTTTTTATTTATTCGTGACAAAAAGCGAAAGTCAGAATCTCTCATTGTTATAAATATTAATATTTTTTTTATAAAAGTGTTTAAAAAATTAATAAATATTAAGATATTTTTTTATTTAAATATGTTTTATGAAAATATTTAAATAAATTTTATTTTATATATTTATTAAATAATATTTAAATAATTTTATTAAAAAATTTATATTTTAATTTATTATATAAGTATCTTTAATAACACGTTTTTATGTGTTAATTTATTTAAAATATTATAATCTTTTAATTATTAAATATTTTAATGGTGTTTTGATTTTCTTTAGTCTCATTTTATATATTTTTGTCTCTTAGGGGGTTAAGTGAGGGTGCTTGGAGTTTGGACGGTGGATTGGGTTTGGCTTTGTTTGTTTCATGGGATATTTATGTTCTTCCCCACCCTGAGGAGTTTTTTATTTTTAAGAATTAGGTAAAGATGTGAAGTTTCTTAATTTGTTTATTTTTTCTAAGTCTATGTGATCGCATTCCCTGTTGTGGTCCATTGGTGACCACTGTAACCTAACAAAATTGTCAATAGATTACACTTCTGATCAGTGATTGAATCTTGTCAAAAAATAAGATATTAACTTTTAACTTCTAACTCCTAATCATTGTCTCTGTCAAAAAAAAAAAAAAACAAAACTCTATGTGGTCTAAAATTAACAAAAATTTTCACCTTTCATTACAGTAGTAAAAGTTTGGTTGTTAGCTACTAAATTATTCAAAAGTGAATAAGCTTGGTAGGTTTAAAGATTTTAGTCATGCATCTGAATATTTAATAGGAAGAAGAGCAAACCCTATTTAATAAGCTATTTTTTTTGTAATAATCTTCTATATTTGAACACTTTTACTCTATCTTTTAATTTTTATTCTTATTTTGCATTTTATGTTTGTGATTTTGATCTAAATAAATCATTAAATTGTCTCAATTGGTGAACTAAAACATTTCATAAAAAGAGAATAATAACAAATTTAAGAGTTACAAGCCAAACTCTTAATAGGGAGCAATGTGGGTATGAGGTACCTTGATCCAGATTAACACCATCCTATAAACAAAATTAAGGACAAGAAAGAAAAATAAGATTTATAAATTATAATTTAAACTATAAATTAAAAATACAGTTTATTTTATGAATTTATTAAAATATTTTAAATAAAATTACATAATAAATACTTTTATTAAAAATATCTTTATAAATTTATATGGTAAATTACATTATTAATATACAATTCGTTTGAAAAACACTTTTTTAAAGAAAAATTCAACCCTTATTTTTCATAGTAGGGTAACTGGCATTGTATTTGAATATTTTTACTTTATTTTTTTCATATTTATTCTCATATTGCATTTTTACTTTTGTGACTGCTTTCCTGCAGGATTCTCTGAATTTCCTAGTGGATTCGAGGATCCAAGTTGCCATATTTTTTGGTGATTCCAACTCAAGCTACTCAGAAGTTCATGTGTGTATAATCCAATGTACGCAATTTTAGGTACGGCAGCCCCTGTCCAGTCCATCCAAATGCAAATGGGGTGCTATAGAAATAAATTTTTGTAATATAAATTTTATATATTATTAAATAAATAGATACATTTAATTAAATGAGTAAATATATTTAATAATATGAATTTTATGAAAATTAAAAAAATTAATTATTTTAATAACACGTCAGGTTATATAAAAATATAGGATAAAAAGATGATATAAAAATCATTTCCCAATGCAAATAATGTATGTACCTAACATCGGGAAATGTTATTGGGACAACTAGTTTGTCTCATTTTTTTTATAACATGACGTGCTATTAAAATAATTTATTTTTTAAATTTATATGAAACTCATGATATTAAATGCATTCACTCATTTAATGACATGTGAAAATTATATAAAAAAATTTTGATAAAAAAGTTATCCAAATAACACCACCTTCTAACGTGTGGCCATGGATTAATTAACTTAATCAATTTTCTTTCAGCTTGTGATTAAATTATTTCCAATTTTAATGGAACCCAGTTGTGTTTCAATGTCCCGGGACCATAATCCACACTTACCAATACCATACCAATTCTCTATTTTATTACACCAAATTGCAAAGGGGTCCGTTCCACTATTATTAATTAATCTATCTATTGGCATAAGATTAAACTATGTTCTTGATAATACACATGACATCTTTCTTTTCTTTTTAATAAAGGGGGGACAATATTTGCTATCTCTATTTCATAATTCCAAGATGGATTTGATAGAATTAATTATCGATACCTCTTGATTCTTGATGAAAACAAAGCAAAGTTATGGTAAGTTATCTTTGCTTAGAAAGAGATAAAACCTAAGGGATATGAACTTCCATAAAAAGGTAATTATATCCATATAATTTATTTTTATAATTTTTTTGAATAATTTTTATATTTTTTAAGTGAATATATACATATAATATTATAAATTTCGATACCTCTTGATTCTTGATGAAAACAAAGCA